CAGTTGTTCGGATCACAATAGGCCTTCTCAATGGTCTCCATGGAGTGAAGGTCCTTCCAGGCGTTTGCACTCAGTATCTGCCACCGGTAAGGCAGGTGGAAGTGGACGTGGCTGCACTTTTCTACAAAGACAGAGAGAAGGGCTGAGGGTCCACGGAGCAGGAGTTCGGACCACTTCGACCAAGTTCACTGCCGACCGACCCTGTTCTCACCTTGCCATACGTACCACAAGCACACACCCTTTCTACCTTTGCTGCTGCCGGCCCTGCTCACAGATCCCCACCCAGCATCCAGAGTCCCTGGGTGGCAACGGTGAGCGTGGTCAGCTGCTGACGGAAGGCTGCAGGTTTGGGTCTACCCACAAGTGGCTCGGAAGAAAGGCCAGGTGATCCCCATCCCAAAAAACAATGGCTGGAAACCCCACGGAGCAAAGCTCTGCTCTGACGCACAGAGTCACCACGCGTCAGGGGCAACTCCACCGGTGCCAGCAACCAGGTTCCTTCGTCCCACACGCCTCAACAGCAAGTGGCTTTTTGTTTGTTTTACATCCTTAAAGGCAGATAATGTAAAAGCAGCTTTAGCGTGTTACCCTGGCAAAATCTAGAAGACGCCTTCTCAGCAGAGGTGATGGCAATGGACCACTGAGTCTAGGGAAGCCGGATGTGCCTTTAAAGGGAGCCAAAGAGTCCTTTACACTGGAGACACTTACCAGGCAGTCCCTGCAGTGGACATGGCTCGCTCACCCTCAGCACCCCCTTGGAACTGGGCAGGCAAAGGATTCAAACCAGGAGCTAGGCTGCAACCCGGGTCTGTCTGCCTCTCCGTGAGACCAGCTGCCTCTGTCTACGCTTTCTGTTGTATTTTTTTTCTTTAAAAGCTATCAGATGCTTAACAAAACTCAAAATCATTTAAAAAAAAAAAAAGGACCAGATTTGCTGGCCTGATAGAGCCTGGTGGAACCACTGAGACTATGGGCCCTAGCTGCACTTCAGGCCTGAATTGAACCCACTCCTGTGGCTTCCAGCCAAACAAAAGACAGGCATATGAGCGGAACATTTACATCAGGTAGATACACTCCTTGGAGAGAACAATCATTGGAGAATAGAAGGCTGTGTATGCATAGGGCGACAGCTCAGGGGCAGGGTGCATGGAGGGAAGGACACAGGGAAGAGGTAACTATGGGGAGGGGAGCTGTTGCATTGTGGGAAATTGCAGTCAATATCATGGGACAAAGTATATGTGAACTGCTGTATGGAAAATGAATTTGCTCTGTAAATTTTCACCCAAATCACAATAAAAATTAAAAAAAAAAAAGATATATGTTTCAAAGCTGCATAAAAACAATCTGGGCTAGAGCTGAAGACAAGAATTTTATATAAAGATGTTCATCACAGTATTATTAATAACAGCAAAAAGAAACTGGAAAGATAATATTTAATAATGGTGAAAAAGGCATATTCATAAGATAGTTGACAGCCCATTAAAATGTTTACAAAGAATGTTAAGTACAGAGAAATATTCAGAATATACTCAAAAAACAAGATACAAATTGAATATGGTTGTATCCCAATTTTGCAACTGAAAAAGCCAAGTGGAGAGAAAAACACCAAAATGTCAGCCAACTGACTGAGTGGGGGCACATGGCTGACTTTATAAATGATCTTTTGGGCAGCACAGAGAATTTCTACATTTTTAACAGTAAAAATGAACCACCGCAATTTATAAAAATGTTCCTTAGAAAGGTTCAAGGCTATAAAGCAACTTAGGGAATACAGCGTCCTCTTGTCCACACATACAGACAATGTTTCACACTAGAGGTGGTCACACCTGGCCACGGAGACCAATAGCAGAAAGAGGTATGGGGGGAAAAGGACAGCACTGTGTCCCACACGTGGCTTGCGGAACACATTTCCACAGGAAGCTGATGGGAAGGGATGGTGAGCAGGTGACACACAGTAGGAAGCTGGTGGGAGGGGACGGTGAACAGAGAACACACAAGACACACAGAAGCAACAGTGAAGAGCCCACTGGCCCAGAAGAAAGACACCATCTGAATCAGGTCAGGAAAGAAATTGTTTAACTCTGTCTGCTGTGAGAAATACAGAGTCAGGAACAGAAAGAGGATGCATGGCTAATGGCCTCCTTTGCCATGAGACCAAAAGAACTGATGGTTCCCCGCTGCTGTCGTTGAATGGTTTGATCAAAGATTCTGCAGAAGAATCTTGATCAAAAGTGGGGAGGAAACGAGGAATGGAATTTCACTAGGCTTTTGGAGCCAGAATGGTCCTTGGAAGTGAGAATGTCAGACTTCGTCTCACCTTGCTTTGGTCATGCTGTTGGAAGGGACCATTCCCTGGCGAAGGATACCATACTTGGTAAAGTAGAGGGTCAGCAAAAAAGGGGAGGGCCCT